CCCCTCAAAAGATATCAAAAGCACTGGGGTCAGAGGAAACTATCACAGTTCAGGATACCTAGGAATCAGAGTGATGTCACTGAGTAATTGTCCGTGTGTCATAACATCACTCACTTGAACAGACAGCATTTGGGTCTGCACAAACAGGCGATCTCCATGAAGGATGTGAGCGTCTGACACGTGATTCGAAAGGAAATTCATCAGAATGGTTAAAGAACTGAGGGATACTGGTTTTAAGGTCAGGTTGGAGAAACTCAAGTTGTTCTGCACAGTGCAAAGGAGATTGATATGACAGTTGATAAAGGGGGTGATAACACAGTGTGGACCTGCAGGAAAATTATCTGATGAAGGGTCCCGTCCTAAAACATCAACTTTCCTCCTCCTCTAATGTTGCCTGGCCTGCTGTGTTCCTCCAGCTCCACACTGTGTTATCTCAGATTCCAGCATTTGAGTTCTTGTTATCTCTGATTTGATAAAGGTGTCTAGGTTTATGATCGGTTTAAACCGGATAGATAAAGAGCAGCTGTTCCTCTTCACTGATAGTAAAATTGTTTGGTACACAGATTTAAGATATTGGGCAATACTTACTGGGAGATGTAAGAAGGAATTTTATGCTACTTTTATTTTACTCAATACTTACCTTTAAAGGCCGATAATATTCAGTGCTGAATGAACAAAAAGGCATGCTTAGATCATTTGGTTTGTGTTTCCGATCTGCAAATCCTCTTCTGAGATGCTGTAAAAAAATTTACAAAAGCCATCTCAGTCAGTCTGGGACACAATTTCAGAAGAAGCAATTATTTCTTTGATTTGGAGTTTGCTGTGTGTAAATGCTCCCCTCCTGACTCCCTGTAAAAACTCCATTCCTGTCAGTCCAGGAGAGGTATTCACAACATTCGCTCCGCTGGCCCAGGATAACCGCATATGCGCCCTGCTGCCCTTTAAACTCCTACAAATATGGCGGCCTTTACCCGCGGCCTGCCTTTGAGAGAGAGCCTCGATTTTGACATTTTACGAAAGGGAATAGATAGTTTCTTTATACGGGGTCTGTCACATTCACAAAGTGTTTAGAAAGCCTCCCCGTCTAACCGCCCGGTCTATCGCCTCCTCCGTTCCGCCTCATTGTTACCTTTTGTGGAGCCGAAAAGAACAGCGACTTCCCAGGGTCGCTCCCACTGCGCATGCTCTAGACCGTGGCCACGCGGGAACATACTGAGCCTGCGCAGTGATAAGCAATGCAGTGCATAGCGCTCGGAATTCTGGGTTAAGTGCCCACCACAGTAAAGACTGCATTTTATTTGTCGTAATGTGTACAAGCAATCTTTCTCTTTACTTCTTACCAGGACAACTGACATGTATTATACATTTTATAAAGTATAAAACGTGCCTTTTGCATCCCAGGGATATAATATCACAAAGTCTGACACTGAGTCGCCATACACATTCTGGGTCACCGGGCTGCTTTCTTATTAGAGAGACAAAACTGGTGGTGGTTTAACCTGAGGGACACCACATCTCATGTCAGCAGAGAGGTTGAAAGTCGAGAGTCATCAGTTGTAACCTCAGGCGGTGTGGGATTTTATTCTACACTGTTGGCATCATGAGGAAAACTGGCAAACGGCTCTGAGAAAGAGTTTGGCTTTCATA